GCAAAGTAAATCAATTCTATTCTGTTGCTGGGGTAAAGTTGGTCAATAGATGATATTTTAAAGCACCTCCATCAACAATTTATGAGATTTATTCAGTTTATGCGAAAGAGCACTCCATAATCATCACTACACAGTGATGGCCCAACAGGGTGTTGCTAACTGGATATCATTTAATAAAAGTTTTTCAAGTGCTCAGCATGCTTTCATCAGAGGGTGATTTTTGTTTTTATCCTTGTTTTGTATGAACGTTAGGAGGTAATCAAGAAGTTATAAAAGTTGATGATTTATGAAGCTTTTGAAGTGGTAGGTGAAATTGTAGGCTAGATATAATGCTTATATTGATCACACTGTTGGTAAAAGCATGATAAGACTGTTGACTAAAAGTACTATTAAAACAAATTTCATGACAGGCTGTTAAATAGAGATCTAGTATTATTTAAATAACTTGATTTTGGTTAATAGTGGTCATGGTCAACACTGGCCAGTATTGTGTTGATAGGCATATAAATCTCACAAATATTACCATATTGCCACTGTGTTTTCACAATTGAAAAATTAGTTACATAGTTACCAGTGTATCCCACACCAGCTCTTTATTTTCTTATATTTCCAGCAGTATTCTTGTCTCTTACACAAGCAAATGTTTGAAATTTTTGTGCTATGCCCATGGCTTCATCCCATTCTGATTTTTCAGTAACTCCTGCTTTGTTGATAAATTTGTTTGTTTTTTTAAAATACAATTCTACTTTTACATACTTTTGCTTTTCTAATATTTTGAAATTATTTTGATTATGGTCTTGCTTCTTCCAGTTTTAAAAGCACAAGGGAGAACAAAGTAATATTTTTTCTTTTTGCATATGTAATCCCATATCTGATAATTCCTATTACATATTACCCACAATTTAAAAATAATATCAGGAGCTTATTTTTAAATATTTGTCAGTATCTCTAATTAAGTAATTTTTAACCTTTTTTTTCGCTGACTATGCCTTTATTTCCATTTCTAGCTATTTGCATTCTGATGAGACTGTCAGAATTTACAATTCTCTTCATGAAAAATCACCAGCCCCCACAAACAAAGCAAAAAAGAAAGAAACAAAGAAACATTTCCACCTCCCCAAAACAAAAATAAACAAAGCAGAAAATTTTGACTAATTTTTTTTGGTTCTCATCTTGATTTTACTTTTACATCTCCCTCCTCTAATTTATTTGCACTCTGTTTCACTGCATCAAATTGAAGAGCTGGTATGTTCACAGAATGCCTTTTCAATTTACCAGTTGTTATTTGAGTTAATATATGCAAAGAACCCCGAAGTTTGGAAAACAATCCAGTGCTATCCATTACGGCTGGTTAGCTGTCCTCTCTGTCTTTTTAATGTGCAGAATTTGGTTTCTTTATTTTTCTTATATGGGTGCTGGTTGACATTTTTCAGATAAAAGTACTGGTTTGTATCCTGTTGGAATGAGATCTCTGTTTTTTGTCTGCTTTATTTCTCACACATCTGATGTACACATCACAACACAGTCATGATATGAGAAAGCCCAATCTTATTAAGAAAAAAAACTGCAAAATCTGTTTTATACTGTGGAATTGTTTTTCAAAGTAAACAAACGTGTGTCATGAAGAACACTTTTCAAGGACCTCGCCTGAGAGTGCTGCTGCCCTGGTCTCTGTTTGTGGGTGATCATCTGAGGCATGATACAGATCTCCACAGGCTATGTTGTGCTTCTCTTAAACAGCAATTCCCCTTCTATCTACTCTACACATGCTATTTATGTTTATGTTGTCACATTTTCTTTTCATATATAAGTAAATCAAGTAAAATCACTAGAATAAAATCATCAGTATCATAAAATGAACATGAAAAGGATTCATTTACTCTTTTAATGTTAGACTTGGTATTTTGCTATTTTACTACAATCTTCTTTTGACAATAATTTTAGATTTTTTTTTCAGAAGCATTTCAGAAGCTCACTCACTGATATGAATAAAGCAATGTTCACTGGTGTTAGTTATTTTCTTCATTGTATAACTGAACAAATGTCTTAAGATATTCAAAACTTATGAAGAGACACAGTGCATCTGCTGGAAGTTTGTTTCAAATTAATTTAGAAAAATTGCTGCCAACAGAAGTTTCTTCATTATTCATACAACCACTGATATCAAGATTAATATGGCAAAATCTTGTCATGTCAAGAAATGCTGTGAAATCTGTGTGTATCTTTCAAATCTCTTGAAAATATGATGGGTTACCTCTGGAGTACTTCTGAAGTTGGGAAAATCTAGGTCATATTGGGAGGATTTTTCAAAACAAGTGTTGGTATGTCTCTATTAAATGTTTGATTGCAAAAACCGTAGAAAACCAGACTGGAGCTCTGTATTACATATACAGAAATTATATAATATACTATACTGGACTAAATTTGTGACTAAAGAGTAAGATTTACTTGTATGTCTGTTGCTGATACTTCAAATATAGTCTTTCTTGTAGCACATACAGTAGTACAGAACATAAAAAAGTAAACAGTATCAATAAAGAGGGACTAGATTTCCCAGAAAAAATAGTAAATATCACTCCAATAATAAGAAAAAAATTACTTTTTTTATAATTTGTGCTCTTTTAACATTCTTATTATACCTATGCTTTGAAATTTGACACAGCATTATAACCATTCCTAATGTGATAGTGAAGATGTAATAGTGAAGCAGAATTAAGCCTATAAAGACAATAGGTATTCTAGGGTTTGTTAGGCATATGTATGCAATGCCAGTTTGAGAACAAGAGAATTGGGAATTTAAAAAGGAAAAATGTTTAAATCCTTAAGTTTCCATAAGACATGCAATGAAAGATTAAGAACAGTGGGAGAAAATTGTTGTAGACAATAAATATTAGGGAAAAAACTGTGATACAGAACACAAAGGAGTGGGGAGTGGCTGGCATAATAATGACCTTACATCATATTCACTTATGTGAACTTGAAATGCATGTCTGTATTTTTGGAAATTAGATCAGTATGTAATCCTTTGAAAACTCATTTAGGCAGTATGACATTTCTCCATGTTTTCATTCATGATGACATAAATGATAACAACATAGACAGTCCTAAATTAAAAAAAAAAAAGAAGGAGGGAAGGAGGGAAGAGTATATCGTTGTTGACTTTATTTCCCCCCTTGCTAGAACATTCAACTGAACCGTCCTGTGTAAATTCACTAAACTGCTGGATCATTTGGCTTGAACTTTACAGGTTCAAGCAGGGAATTGCACCATTTTCTCTTCATAAAGGTCCTTATTCTCACCTGAATAGATGTGAAAATAATATTTTGAGGTGTGTTAAAAAATTGGCAATAAGTTTTCTATATTTTTGCACTGGACACTGATCTTTTTTAGCATGGATTCCCACATGATATAAACCAGAACAGCTCTGCTGAAGTCACTGGAGCAAATCAATCAATACTGGCTAAGAATTTTGTCCCCAGTCAGTGTTTTGATGGGAAGACAGAAAAGAGACCTTCACTGTTGTGTACTGAGAAAAATCATGTGTCTTACTGGGTTAGGCTAAAGACTGCCCTTTGGAAAAAAAATATATATAAAAAAAAAATCACTGCCTCTTGGCTAAGCAAAAGAATTGTGCAATTTTGAGTACAAACAATAGAGCCTTTGAACTAAGGATATGCAGGCATGAAACTGTTTATTTACAAGGAAAAATGACCCAGTTCTCTAGGAACATGACCCAATTTAATCTGCTAGAAAAAAAAAAAAAAAAATTGAAATGCTATTTGACCTAAATTTTCTGAAGCAAAAGTTGTGTGGAAAACAGTGAAGTGTCTTTATAGTTTGTGAGGCAGCTTCATTTACAGGTCATTTGCTCCATGTGTCAGACAGGATTGTGTTTCTTATAATAGGCTGTGATTAGGATTACCTGAAAACTTCCACAGAGCTTTGATCTGTCGTATCACTCTTTTGCAGCTGTCTTAGGGATGCAAGTACCCTGTAAACACTGGTATCACTTAAGTACACTCAGAGTCTCAGGACGGGCTAAGATAACATTTGGTGAGAATGAAGTACTTTTCTCAGACAGATGTGCAGAGGCAGGAAGACCTGATTCTTGAACTGTTAGTTCGGAGATATTTTGGTATGATTTTCCTAGGAGATCAGCCTACAATGCCACTGCTTTTAGCAATAAGCAGAAAAATGTGTTTTGATTAGTTTGGGTGGTCAGGATGGTGGAAATCTCATATGCCTGCCTGGTCTGAAGGAATTCATGCTCCCTTGTCCATGCAGGAGTCTTTCCTGGGAACAAACCTCCTCTGACTTTGACCTATTTCTTTTTCTCTACGTATCCACGACCGTACTGAATCATCAGAGACAGTCAGAACTGGGTCACTGCAGAAGTGTTTATTCACTATATTTCAATGGCAAGTCTTTCTGTGTTCTCTTCTCAATGTGAATACCAACCCTGACATTTTAGACAACAATATAAGTGACCTGTGGTATTCAAATCAGGTTGTAGTTTTGATTGAAAGATCAGATATATCAATTTATCTTCTCATATAAATCAAAAGCTGGAATGTTTGTGAATGCTTGATGGTCACTTCTCCCCTGCCTTGACAAAACTGCAAAAGCAAAATAACTAATAGATGCTTCATAAATTTTGTTTGCAGAATTATGAAGAGATTCAATAATCTGGAGCTAAGAATAATATGAGCATTCTATCATCTAAGTTTTTGGTAAAACTGACTGTGGGATAGCAGTAGCAAAAACTGGTTTGAGACTGTGACCTTTGGTCACAATTGTGATTAGTAAAATTATTTGAGGTATCAGATTTTTTTCATCATGTAAATTTCAATATTTACTCTGTTTTTTTCTTCTTATATGTGTATAGGCCATGCGTAACAAATAGGAGAATGGATTTTTTTAAATAAATACTTTTGCTCATTTGTTATTTTGTAGGTAGTTGTATTACCTTCGTTTGACATTTTTGTATTCCCTCTGGATAGGCAGCAAAATGTCCCATGTGAACTTGGAAAGAAAATACAAGATGCTTGGACGTAAGGGAAGACTGAAGAATATCCTCAAAGTACATGGTGACCAGAGGTAAGTGGACATTAAAGAATTTTATTAGAGCTCAGTAATCCTGCCTTTCTTGGTGATTTATCTCCCTATAGGTAATTCTTTTGATGTCATAAAACTTCAGCTGTAACTCTCTGATTCAGTGGCTATTACTGCTAGGATTTTTTACTGCTATCATGATAAAAAAAAGATACACTTTCTTTCGTTGGAGGTGTGTAGTAAAATATAGCAGAAAGCAACAGATTTTCAGTCTGCAGAAATCTCAACTTTGTCTATTTCATTTAGCAGAGGATATGCTGTGTGGTTCATCCAGCCACTGAAAATGACTTTATGTAAGTATAGATGCAGCTATGTGACATGTACAAGGACTGAGCTGGCCTTTCCTGTTACCCCTACTCAGATCTATCTATATTGCAGAAACCCTAGTAAAAGTCAAAAGAGTACAGTAAGAATGGCAGAAGTAGATAACAGTTATCTCAGGCACAAAAGTGGACCACACAGCAAAATGCTCCCAGCCCAGTTGTGTATATATCATAAATAAAAATGTTTTAGGAATATCATCATATCAAATTTATTCCTTTCATTTGCAAAAATTTTCAGATACAAAATAACTTTCAGTATCTGTCCAATCTGTTCAACTGTTCATCCATGCTTTTTCCAAAGACATAATTATCTAGGAGTATCAATTTTGACAGTGATTCTCAACAGACAAATAATTTATCACAGAATTTTTTTGTATCTTCTATGGATTGATGTTGCTAATTTTAAGATACAGGGTTTAACACCTCTAAACTAAACAGAACTCTCTAAATAGTGTTTGGAATGATTTGATTATGTTCTTCACAAATACTGATCCACAAGTTTTCCACTTTCATATTTGCCCTTGTACTAAATGTGGAGCTAAGCATTTCTTGTATGTCACAAAGACAGATTTACACCCTTGATTACTCATGGTTGTTGTAGTCATCAACAATAGGCATTTGCATATGAACTTTTCACAACAGACTCATTTTATTTACAGATAGTATGTAGCTAGCCATGCTCTTTTTAATCTTAAACTGGAATTTAACATTAGAAATAGAACTTAATAAAGTAAAGATAAGAGCACCGCCACTTGTTATACAGTTGGAAATAAATAATTGAGATTAGTGATAAAAATAGTGGAGTATTGGATTTTTGAGGCTAAGAAAGTTTTTAATTTTTTAAAGGGATGCTTTAAAATTATTAATTTAGCCAATCTAACTACTAAAAAACATTCGTTCAGAATTTCCTCTGACAAACACATAGCAAAAAACAGCACTGCTTTTAGAAGTGTTTCATATTGACAAAGGATCGTGTCAGTACATGGTTGACAAAAGCCTCCACCTCCAAGGTCACCTTCAGTTCCATATTCTCCCTTCTGCTCCCTGCCTGCACTTCTGCTCAAAGCGGTGCCTGCCTTGTGATACAACTTCTAGAAACTATGAATGAAGAAAACTTCTTATGGGCATTTTTGATATCAAGTATAATTGGACAGCTACTGCTTTTCTACTATTTTAAATTTAAGTTATTTCTTTACATTTAAGAGATTTTTTTTGCCTACTACACACATTCAGTATCTACACTTTAAAAATCTGCATTCTGGCTGATTATTTTAGGTATAGTTATTCAAAAATTATTATTTAAATATTGATTTTTTTAAAGAGTACCTATGGTTTATTCAGTATTAGTCAATAGAATATACTTTTCATTACTGTTTATTTAAAAATACTCTTTGGGTTTATTAGCAGATGAATTCTTCTTGAAATTCTTCTCTGAAGAATTTATTTAAATGTAACTTCTGGTTACATTTAAATAAATTCTTTATTTGGTGAAGCATGGAAGGTTATAAGAGAAAAGGAAGGTTTTAAGAGAAAAAAATTATTTATGCACGTACTAAGTGCTTCTGGAATAGACTTTGCAGATGCAATCTTACAGTGCTGCACAATTTCTTACAGAGATGTGATTCAGCCACTGGCTTAAGAGTAAGGAATGAAATAAAAAATAAAAAAAGGAGACCCTTCTCCCCCTCATATACAAAAGATATAAAGTAAATTAACATTTATTGTGTTCTCTAAATCATCTTCTAGAATCTAATAACATCTTTAATAGACATAACAGCATGACTGCTTAATAGCTTTTATTTTCCATTGTTGCTTTAGTGTCATACTTTTTGCCAAATCTCATTCCAGGAGTGCACAAATATCACTGCTGAGAGTGGACGTGTGGCTTATTCCCATAGTTTGCTATTTGGGAAGACAATTGAAGTAGAAGCTGCAGTAGTCTTATGGTCTTCATCTTGCTCTATGTGTTTCAAGCACTCTGCCCTTCCTCCTGCTGAATGAAACTATGCCTTGCTTTCCTCCACTTGAAATAATCACCTGTCTTCTGGTGATTAATTTAGTTATGCAGATTTTGTTCTGCTTGTTTTTGGAGCCTCCCTGAGCTTTTAATCATCAAATCCATTGCTCATAAATCTTGTTCCTTGCAGGCGTTTGCTACCTCCAACATGGGTGGTATATTCTGAGCAGTGCACCCTTCACTCAGCACTCAAGAGGTCACACCCACATCCGAGTCCAGGTGGACGACTGTTCACCCAAAATTCAGCTCGTTCCTCTTCAGGTTTTGAAAGTATTCCTTACACTAACTGACTATCTTTGTTCCAGACCCTTATCCAAAACTTTTCCTCTCCGAAGCTGTTTTTTGCCAAATCCTGGTTCTGGAACAGAGCACAGAAAATCAACAGTTTTGACCATTGTTTACTTGGGAGGAAATGGGATCTTTTCCCCAGTTTCCACCTGGGAGGAGAGGTGCTTTATTCCCAAGAAATTTCCTTCATCATTTAATGACCCTACCAGCAGGTTGTGTTCTGCAGCTTCCCCTCTCAGAGTAAAAAACCTAAACATTTTATTTTAATAAAATATCTTCCTCCTTTCCAGTCAGCCTCACTAGCATCCTACAGTTCTTTTTGCTTTTGGCAGCTCTCCCAGAACTCTGGGCTGAAGGCAGAAAGAAACCACACTGATTCTGTGGTTTCTAGAAGGGACCAAGGCTCCTTATTACATATTTCATGCAGCTGTGCTTTCTTGGCCATCTCTCTCACTTCCCCAGTTAAATCCCAGTCTTTTTTTTCTCCATTAGCACATATGGTTTTCTAAGATAATCAGGTCAATGACTCATTGTACACACTTGTTAAATGGGATCATTTTGAAGGTGTTTTGCACCTTCAAAGGTGAAGTGGTGTGGTTCAGTTTGGGTGTATTGCAATACAGAATTGCTAGTCTTGACATTGGAGAGAATAGGTGCTCTTATCTCATGCCTCCTTGCATATTGGTAGGCAGCTTTTCATACTAAAATACACTAATTTATCAATACCCAAACTGTACTAATCCCCTTCAAATACCTTTTAATATGTTCACTTCCTTCAGGGTTCTGTTAAGGAGGTTATGGAAACATAGATTTCATCTCTGTGACTGTATGTGTGTGTGAATCTGTATATTTCCACATATATGTATACAGAGAAAACACTTATGCATGAACTTATATTTCTTTCAAGATACATAATAACAATAACCTACAGTTAATGCTTGCAGTATAAATTCCAAGAAAGAACTTAAATTGCTATTAGAATATGTATCAGATAGACAAAAAATGCTCACACACACACTCACACACACACACACACACCCCATTTTGTAAAAATGGGCAATCCAAATTTTATTTGTGTTTTATCCAAATTTTATTTGTATTGTAAGGGAAAAAAAGAGAGGTGTTAAATCTGTCCATTTACATTTCATCAATTCCACATATCTAATTAGATTTTTGAAGAAATTAAAACATTTTACAAATGTAAGTATTTAACTTCAGAAACATTTTGGAAAAAAAATAGTTGGACAATATAAGGCCATGTTTGAATTAGAAAAAAAATGTTTATATTATTGAAGGTTAATGAAAGTAGTTTTAGATTTATGTTTTCATGTGATAGTCTCTTTATTTTTTTTTTTTTCATAATCACCATGTTCCTACAAAAGAAACAAGTTTACTCTGCATTTGGAGGTGCTCAGAGAGCAATAGAAATGTGTTACAGGAACCTATTGCCCTGTGAATTCTCAGAGCTGTTTCCTGGTACAGTTCTGCAGATTCTATAGAAGTGAAATGCTTTCTTTGTGGTAATTATAAACATGTGTTCTAGAAGCAGAAGTTGCCAGACTTCATGAATTGAGGAATTTTTATTATGACTTACTGTCACAGTCTTTCATACAAAGATAGAAATGGCTCTCCCTGTCCAGATGGCTGCTCTCATCTCATCCCTACCTTCCAGTCCCTTTTGTGTGCAGGTGTCAATCCAATTACATTTCCTGACACCTGATAGCTGTGTTTAGCTGTGGTTTCCAGATCACAGATTTTTCAGTGGATACAATGAAAATGGTAGGGAAGTGCCAGCAGCAACTTCATTTATACTAAAAGTCTGCATTCTAGATGTAAGGAAAATACTGTTGCTTTTAACAGTACTGTGTTATGAGAAGTAGGAAAGCAAAGAATGATGAAAAAAGAGTTTCTAATAGTGAACATGTGGCATGTGTTATTTCTGTACCATAGAGAGGGGACCCTCTGTCACGCAGCAGCAGCAGTTTGAGCAGATCAGGGTGCTAAAGAAGGCTGCTGGAAAAAATGATAATACTGCACTACAGCTTTGATGTTTGGGGTTGTGCACTTTGAACAATCTTGCTATGTTCATTACATTTTTTAATTGCTAGGATTAAGACCTTAGAGAATGAACTAAGGACTTTACAGAGCTAATCATCCATCCTGAATTTGTCTTGAGAAAGAGGTAGAAGCATGCATCTGAGATTTTGCTTCATTTGGCTGAATAATTCTCTCCCTGTTTCATTTATTAATTTGGTAATTCATTTTATAACTCTTCCTAGCCTCTTATACCTCTTCCTGGCTTCATGTATGGGCATGGGTCTCATAGTATCTCCTGTCTTCACATTTTTGGAAATGCT